ATCCGCGGCCAGGAGTCTACGTCCCTACGCGGGAACAGGAACCCAACGATTGGAGCCAGTACCGCTGGTGATCTCTCCGGGGGTGCCGTCACGCCGTGGGTCTTTGCCATGACCACTTTGTAAGCATCCCCCCATGGGTTCGTGTTGGCGCTTTGGCATAGGCTGTCAAAGCACGCGCGCTTGCGTCTGGCGATCTCTTTATTGAGGGCTGTCTTAGCCGCTTGGAGAGCGACGCGGCGTTCCTCCCGAGATTCAGTCGTACGAGCTCGTTGCATCCTCCTTCTCGCCTGGAGGCAAGACGCCCTGAGGATAGCAATCGACTCGCTCCACCAGTACACCGGTCTATGGCCATGCCTGGGATAGGCTCTCCTAGGCATGGTTGTATCGCACGCCCTTGTCAGCGCTGCTACCAGTTCTTCCCCCGTCAGATCCGGGGTTATTCGCTCCCACCTCAGTGCTTCGCCGAAGACCTCCTCCTCGAAGAACGACGTCCGCCAGCCTCGAGCGCAGAAAGAATTTCCTCCTGCCACTCGCCTCTCACCTGGCCCCACGCTGTACCGAATCGCCTGATGGTCACTATGAGTGTAACCCTCATCGACCCTCCAGTGTAGGTTGCCCTCCAAACTCGGGCTGCAGTATGTCACGTCGATGACGGATTCTGCACCATTCCTTCTGTAGGTACTGACCGAGCCGGTGTTGGATAGTACAACGTCCAGCTTGGCCATTGCCTCCAGTAGGATGCATCCTCTCTGGTTGGTGTGGTGGCTACCCCACTCTACCGCCCATGCGTTAAAGTCGCCCGCAATGACCACCGGTCTTAGGCCGACAACTACCGCAGTCAGTCTGTCCACCATCTGCGAGAATTGCTCGATAGACCACCTGGGCGGAGCATAGCAGCTACTTAAGTATACTCCATTAACCCTGGCGATCACGAATCCCTCGCTCGAGTTGGACACGACTACCTCCTGAATTGGGGAAGCTCCCCATCGTGCATTTCGCCGCCATCCCCGACGCGTCCGTGACCCAATTCCCGTTGCCGGTTGGGACGCGGTACGGGTCAGAGAAGATTGCGACATCCGCTCCCCATTCCACTGCCGAACAGTGGTTCAGGTTCAACTGCCCAACCTCGAACATGGCTGAGCATTGCTCTTTGCCTTAGCAGCATTGCTCTTGGACCCCGGGCAGAGTGGGCCACCTGCCATGTGGTTGGTAGGGGTATTCCCCTTCTCCGCGCATATAGTGCACCTCGGCGGCTTTTGGCAACCTCGCGTCTTATGGCCCTCCGAGCCGCACCATGTGCAAAGCTTGCTCCTGTCGGTGTTCTTACAGTCACGGGCCACATGGCCTTGACCGAAGCACCTAAAGCAAGCCGTAACCGGTCGGGGAATACTGACGGGGCAGACCGACCAGCCCACTCGCACCCTCCCTGCGGCTACCGCCTTTCTGGCCTCAGCTGCAGAGAGCCTGATGGTAGCCACTTGGGTGGAAAACAGTCCCTTCCTCAAGGTAATCGCTGATTGCGGTACCTCGACTTGACACTGTTCCCGGAGCGCCGTGACTATCTCGGTCGCTTCCGTCACTTCGTCCAGGTCCTTGACCTGGATGGTGATAGTCGAGCCTAGCGACTTCACCTGCACCCCAGAACCAACAACCGCCTTTGCCAGTTTCTGGTAGGTTGGTCCCTGGTCCTTAGCACCACGTTTGAGCACCAGGAGCATCTCCCTGTACGAGTGCGCCTGATGCTCCTCACGTTACTGTCCATCTCCACAAGGCACTCGTCCGTTCTCATTTTCTTCAAGACTCCGCGTATTTCGACGCGTCCGTCTTGAAGATGAGAGCTTCGCCCTTGTTCCTGGTCCGGGCAGCACTGCTCTTGGGGGCAGTTTTGTCCGGGGGTTTCGGGGGTTTCGGGGGGCACCCTTCTTACCACCCTGCTTCCCGCCCTTGGAGCAGCTACATTTCTCAACTTTGATACTGGCTATTCCAGCCCTTTTTTTCGGTACGTCCACTAATGCAGTGGACTGATGGGCAACCACCACACTCTCCACCTGCACAGAGACTTTCCGTCTTTTAGGGCGTGCTGCGCCCTTTACTGGCCAAGGTGAGGGCCGATTTCGCTTCTGTTCCTGCGTAACGGCAAAGTGGAGGGCCTCGCTGGACATCGTATTGTTGCCCGCGAAGTTGAAGGCGTCCGTCTGGGTAGACTTCGGTTTCTTCTGTTCCGCCCTCTCTGCGACCTCTAGTCGCTTCCTGAGCCGCTCGTTGTCGTCCTGGGCCTCGTTCACGGTTGCACGGAGCTGTCGCAAGGCCTGCTTTAGGTCCTTCGCGATGTTGCTCTTCGTGCTCGTGAACTCTATTATGGCGTCGAGCTGTCCCGCGATTGCCAGCAGCCTAGGGAGGGGCCCAAAGCTATTCATGGTTCTGATTAGCCCAGGCCAGTCCTTCGGCTGCTCCTCCGGCTGTCCACCGATCTCGGTCGTTGTCTCTGCATCGCGCGGAGATTTCGTCCGTTTGTTCGGCTCACTGTGTTCGGGAGATCTGGGTAGACCTCCCTTCGCGAACGGGTTCGCGGTCGCCTCCTCGGCGACTTGTTCACCTGGGGTTTGGGGTTTTTGGCTTTTTTAATGATTTTGTTTTATCATCCCGACTGTTGGGTCCCCCTTAGACCGCTATCCTACCGTGCAAATGGAATAGTCGCTGATTGATCCCCATGGGTGCCTATACGAGCAGTGAGGTCCATGACGAGGGTTGACATAGGCCTTCATGGGGCGTTATGTTCAGAGCCGGATCGCGTAAGACGGGAATAACTCAACAGAACCTATTCCCACCGCAGCTCCAACTGGGTGGCACGGGAGGAACGTATTCTAAGGCCTGCCAGGGTTTTATGGGACGGAGACAAACAAGGCATTAGCTCAAACGTCGTTTCGGCCGGTTCCACCCGACTCTACTAAGAGAATGAAATACCTTGAGTGCCAGCCCGTAGCGTGGTTTATGGTAAGTTTCCACTCAGTGTCCTACATAATGCCAGTGTGTCAGTATACATACTTGCGATCTTACTGACATCGATCGCAAGGCGCCTTCCGGCGCTTCCCCTCGTTTGTTGTTCGATTAGCCGACTGGATCAGTACCGCAGCACTGGTGGTCCATCGTTTCCAGGGTGCAGCACGGGGAGGCGAACAACTTCACACCTGTACACTGTACAATGATACTCTGAGTGTGGATAGAGCACAGTGCATCTATCATAAAAGTGGCACTAGGGACAAAGAGGTGTCTCCATACATGATTTTGCAAAGAAATACGATTCCAACTTTTCCACCGTGCGTAACATCCTTTCAAGAGAAGGATATAAGTCTTTTTGTGCCAGTAAACATCCGAATTGCTCCCTGAAACAAAATTTAGTGGCCAAAAAGCGAGCACGATTACTATACGAACGAGTTTTGACGAAATTTGATGGCTGTATTTTAATGGATGACGAAACATATGTCCATAATTAAAATAGTATTTTAATGGATGACGAAACATATGTCCAAATGGATTATAAACAAATCCCCGGACGAAAATTGTACTTGGAAACTGGTCGTGGGGATGTCCCTTACAGGTATAAATTTGTTTTTGCTGATAAGTTTGCTCGGAAACTAATGATTTGGCAAGTAATCTGCAGTTGTGGTCTTAATACCAAGGTTTTCATCACATCTCACACAATGACGTCGAAGGTTTACATTAAAGAGTGTCTGAAAAAGCGGATTCTACCCTTCATTCGGCAACACAAGACCAACGTTATGTTTTGGCCGGATCTAGCCAGCTGCCACTACTCTAAGGAGGTACTAGAATGGTATGCTGCAAACAATGTTAATTTCGTCGCCAAAGAGATTAATCCTCCGAATTGCCCTGAGTTCAGACCGATCGAAAAATATTTCAAGCGAGAACAGTAAAGAAGTGACAAATGCACAACAAATGCGTTTAAAGTGGAATACGTTCGCCGGTACAGTGTCACCAGCGACTGTGCCGATCATGATGGCATCGATCACAAGTAAAGGGCGACAGTTCGTTCGAAACTGTGAAATGTAATAACTTGTTATATATCGTTTGAAAGCTTAATAATTACCCTTTTGTTTGACTTTTTCATAAATCGTGTATGTTGTTAAATTCTTGAGTTATGATCACTTGAATGCGTCTAAATTTACTTTGAATCGGGCTTTAGTACAATTTCGACTAGAATGGGGTATGTTAATCGATTTGCTTTGGACCAATAGGCTAGTCAAGTAGTAAGCCAATTTAAAATCGTTAATTTTCACCGGTTGCTAATACGCTTTGTTTGTCCTTGTGTTGAGCATTCCGTTATCCAAAATCTCCAAATCACCATTGTATTCTACTGCTACTTTGGGTGAAAATAAATGATAAAATATTTAATAGAAATTTCGATAGTTTTGTTGAGTACATTGTTCTATTATTGTTGCTTCGGCAACAGAAGGAAAACGCAATCCGATTTTTAACTCGTTTATTCTTGGAGGAACGGTTAAAATTTTCCTGCAGACGTAACAAATCGTGATTAACAAATTATTAATGCTCATATAAATAATCTTACGTTTTGTGCTGGTTTCCGGTTCGCTATCCGGATCGTCGTAGCGGGATGCGCCAGAGCTTACAATTTCTGTGTATATGTTTAGTTAAATTAGGAAAATTAAGTTTAACTATAACAAACCAATTAATTTTACCTCGACTACTTTGAAGATTATCGAACTTCCAGAGAGAATTCAGTAAATATAACCTCGTATATAACCTTCAAACCGACCTACATCAAAATTTCGATAATATTTTAGTGTTATTCATTATTTTCTATCGATTAACTTTCTACCTTACGCTAAGTCACTAGTTGAAGTAATCCACTTTAATTTTAAGGTATTTTAAGGAAATGCACTAGTACTTTAAATATTTATTTAAGAGAAAACTTTGCACGATGTAATCTTAATGACGTTTTGGCACGTTTTTATATCTTTTTCTTACATTTTTCCATCCTCACCCGGTGCCGGCGGCCTGACAGCTATGCTTGTCGGTTGGATATCGCAGGCAGCTTCACACTCCTGCGATGCAGCGCCGCTGCACCAGTGAGGTAAATGAGTAGGTGCGGTGTCGCACGAAGGGCGTACGCAACAGTCCCCTCCAGTAGTTGGACCCTGGTCCGACTCACTCTCCTTTGCACCTACTTCTAACACTGCCAGTTTGACCACCGGCCTTTCGAATAGTCCAACGGCAGTCTGGACTACCGCCGATCGAACTTGTCCGTCCTTTGAAGTCTTCACCGATACAATACGTCCTTTGGGCCAACAGTTCCGTGGCAAGCTGGGATCGGTAACGACTACGACTTCACCAACCGCGATCGGCCTTACTGGGTAGAACCACTTTGTTCGACGCGTGATAGTTGGCAGGTACTCGGTCACCCATCGTTTCCAAAACTGGTTCGCCAATGCCTGTGACGCCTTCCATGACCGTTGTAGCATCAACGGGCATTCGTCGTATGGCACCAGTGGCTTCGATCCGTCCGATGAACCCAGCAGGAAGTGGTTGGGAGTAAGCGCCGGCGAAGAATAATCGTCCACGGGTACGTGAGTCAACGGTCGGCTGTTGATGATATTTTCTACCTCGATCAGATAGCTCCTCAGTACCTCCTCCGTGGAGACTCGTTGTGGCTTGACCTGGTACAGAACTTTCTTGACGGATTGGATGAGCCGCTCCCAGCAACCACCCATATGCGGCGACGCAGGAGGGTTGAAGCGCCATGTTGTCCTCGTGGTGGTAAATTCCACCATGAGCCTCTCCTGGTCCAATGCCGCTACCGCCTCTTTAAGTTCCCTGTCCGCACCCACGAAATTGGTCCCACGATCGCTAATTATTTCCAACGGAGTTCCCCGTCGAGCAAAGCAGTTCCGCAGAGCTAGGATACACGAGCTGGTGTTCAACGAGGCAGCCAACTCGAGGTGTATCGCTCGAACCGTAAGGCACGTTACAATAACTCCCCAGCGCTTTTCATGATGACGTCCTACAACGGTCCGAAGAAGTCCACGCCCACGTACGAGAACGCGCGCACGAAGGCTGCCATCCTTGCCTTCGGTAACGAAGCCATCATCGGGGGTGCTGGTGCAGCGCGTTGTATCTCGCATAACTGACAATTTCGACGCACTCGATCGTAGACCCTGCGAACTCGTGGGATGTGGAATCCTTTGCGCACTTCGTTCACACAGGTTTCGTGGCACTGATGATGATATCGCAGATGAACGTCACGTACGAGAAGAGCAGTAACGGGATGCTCTCGAGGGAGTACGATGGGGTACCTGCTGCTCTCGTCTACGAAGTCGCATTCGCCCAACCGACTGTGGATGCGCATCACGCCCCGCTTGTCAACGAACGGACAAACCTTGAACAGGCTGTTCTTCTTCTGGAGTCGGCGATCACCCGCTGCTAGGATTGCTAGTTCATCTGCGTAGACATCTTCCTGTGCTCGTTTGATTTGGAACACTTCCGCATTGAGAAACTCGTGCTGCGTTAGCGGCCCGACATTCCGTTGTTGGCCTTCCTTCTTCAGCCGGATATTGTTCACGAACCGTTGGACGAAAGCCGTAGCACGCCGTAAGCGGTACCACGATGAGAAGTTCTCTGGCAACAAAACGGTACGAACTCTCCCAACTGAATGGTGCATCACGCTTGAACGGATTTCTTCGGCGGTTTCCTGGCCATTTAGCGACGACTCCGGCCATTCCATTTTGGGTCTCCACAGGAACGATGTCCCGTTGAACCAACGACTTGCTGGCTTCAGATCCGGTTTGTACTTCCACTTTGTTCCGTCGTCAGCCACGTTCTCCTTTGTACCTATCCACCTCCATTCCGTAACGTCCATCTCTTCCAATATTTCACCCACGCGGAAAGCCACGAACTGAGAGTACCGGCGGTGATCCGATTGTAACCAGCACATGACGTCCCGAGCATCAGTCCAGAAATAACGACGGTCGACCTTGATAGAGTGGCCTGCCCCGATACTCTTGGCCAAGCGTGAACCGATGACTGCTGCTTGCAGCTCCAGCCGGGGAATGGAGACGAACTTGAGGGGCGCTACTCGAGTCTTGCTGCCGATGAGCGCACAATGAACATGTCCATTCCTTTCAATCCGGAAATAGGAAACGGCTGCGTACCCAAGCTCACTAGCATCTACGAACGTGTGAAGCTCGATCCTGGCTTCGTTGATGCTGGAGTCAGCCTGGTAGTAGCAACGCGGAATTTCTACCAACTCAAGCTCCGGCAAGGTACGTAGCCATGTATGCCACTTCTCCAACTCCTTTTCCCCGATTTCTTCATCCCATGCAGTTTTCGCTCTCCAGACCTCCTGCAGCAGTATCTTCAGGAACATCAAGTAATGTGCAATGAGACCTAACGGGTCGTAGATGGCCATCAGCGTCCGTAGCATGTCCCGCTTGGTTGGATGCTTGATTCCGGTAAGAAGGTCCTTGTTACGTTCCGTGCAGAGCTTGTAGCGAAAGACGTCTTTTGTTGTACTCCACCACATCCCAAGGACCTTTTCCATGGCAGGGTCAGCGCTCATCTCCATTGACTTTTCCGGCTGAGTGTTTTCTCCGAGGGCTTCCAGCACTTTGGTTGAGTTCGACACCCAGTTTCTCATGAGGAATCCGCCTTGTTGGTGAATGTAGCGTACATCATTGGCCAGCTTGATGGCTTCCTCCTCCGTGTCTACGCTCGTGAGCATGTCGTCCACGTAGTGCCTCCGGTGGATAGCGTCGGCAGCAACAGGGTATTCGCTTTCGAAACGGGCAGCGTTTTCGTTCAGGACGAATAGCGCAGTGCTAGGTGAACAGGTAGCGCCGAACGTGACAACCTGCATTACATAGTCACATGGCTCCGTCGTTTCGTCGCTGGCACACCAAACGATTCGCTGACTGTCCTCATCTTGTGGGTTCATCAACATCTGATGAAACATTTCAGCTACATCACCTCCTAAGCCAATCAACCGCTCTCGGAACTTATATAGTACTGGTGGTAGAGCGTTTAGTTGATCCGGACCCTTCATCAACACGGCATTCAACGATACTCCTCCAAACGACGCGGCTGCATCGAACACGATTCGGACCTTGCCTGGTTTATTAGGGTTGAAGACCGGAAAGATGGGCAAGTACCAGGTCCGATCTCCCGTCCTCTGACTTTCCTCCGGGGTTAGCTTGCGGACGTACCCCTTGCTGACGTAGTCTGCCATCTTCGCTCTCAACGTCTCGGCCAGTTGGGGTTCGCGTTCCATCCTCTTAACCAGACAGTAATGACGTCTCAACGCCATCGACCTGTTGTTGGGTAGGCGTACGTCATCGTATTTCCACAAAAGACCCACTTGGTAGCGCCCGTTCTGGAACGTTGTACTGTCGCGTAGTTTTACCAGCGCTCGTTCGTCCTCCTTGGAAAGAAGTTGATTCTGCGGAGCTCTGATACCCAAACTGTCGAGCATGAAGTAGCTTTTTACGGTTTCGTGTAGAAAATCGTCGGATTCGTGAGAGTGGAAGCATGTATGGTAGCTGTACAGGGCAGTGTTTGACGCCGGACCATTCTCCGACGAGCAGGTTCCGTAGATCGTCCATCCAAGGCGTGTCTTGACAGCAACTGGTTCATTTGGCTTCCCTTCACGGCTGTCCAGGGAGTGGACCACTCGTACGTTATTCATCCCGATCAATATCTTGGGTTGAACGTTGCAGTACGATTCTATTGGCAACCCTTCAAGATGAGGGTACTCCTCCGAAAGCTTGCGAACGGAGAGAGATTGCGACGGAAGTTTCAACTCTTTAACCGTGTAGACATCTGTCAGGTTGTTTTGAGGACATCCGTTGTACGTGCCGGAAATGTTGAGAGAGACTCGCATGGCATCGTCTTCGTAACGGCAGGTATCGGCCGTCCAGTGGAGGCAGAGTGGATGGCTTTCGCCACGCAAATTCAACTCCTTCGCCAAACCTTCCTCCATCAGTGTCAAGGAAGATCCGCTGTCCAGGAACGCATAGGTTTGTACCTTGATCCCATCATTGTACAGCGTGACCGGAACGTACTGGAATAGTACAGCTCTGCTTTCTCCTCGGTGCGTGTTGCATGATCTGGTTTCTCTGGAACTGCTCGCGCTGACCTGCTGTGAAGTAGAAGTAGTCGGTGCCGAACTGGACGAAGACGACGCTATCGATTTATCTTTCGCGTCGTTGTGCATCATCCGATGGTGTTTGTATTGGCAGCCGTTTTTACCACACGACTTCCCGGACTTGCAGGGACCTCGATGACTTTCCAGGCAGCTACGGCATAATTTGTGTTCCCGCAGTGCAGCCCACCGAGCAGAAAGATCCATTGCAACGAATTGTTTGCACTTCTCCACTGCTAAGCAGTTGCCATTGCAGATGACACATCCACTATCAACGTTGCTTTGGTTGGCCTTCGGAACCGTCTCGGTGTGTGCGTTCAGAAATCCATCGTTCTTCCGTTCCCGGCGTGTCTTGTTGTCGAAGGAGCCCGAGAACTGAGGCATCGTCACCGTGCTCGCTGCTTCTGCTAGTTTGTACAGCCACTCGCTGAACTCCAACAAAGTTACCGATCGAAGAGACTGACGATGGGTCGCCCAATTCAGCCGAATCATCGGTGGGAGACGATCTACCAGATTGTGCAGCAGTGTCAAATTACACAGATGCTCCTCTAACTCACAGGCCTTCACTGTTGCTACCATGTTGCGAACGGCCAGCGCGAAATCGACGAGCGTACCCAGACGTTCTGCTTTGGGAGCGGGAAGAGTGTTTATCTTTTGCAGCAGCGAATGCACGATGATTTCCGGACGCCCAAACAGCATTCGCAACGTCGAAAGAACTTGATTCAGGTTGGCTGGTTGCAACAGCTGGCATTTAACCGCTTCCAATGCCTTCCCACGTAGACACTTCTGTAGACGAGCCATGTTCTCCTCCGCCGATAATCCGCAAAGGTTCGTTGTGTTCTCGTAGGTTGCGAAAAACAAGGGCCATTCATCCGGTTCCCCGCTGAAGATTGGTAGTTCCTTAGAGACTGCATGACGTGCGGCGATTTGGCTTTTATTGAGCAACGCCGTCCCCCCGGTGGCGGAAGGATAGTCGTGTAAGTCGTACGGATAATACTCTTGAGCGGCAGGACGCGGAAGACCAGCATATGGGGCAAATGCCGAAGCATTCGGGCGCTGAGTATGATTCGCGTGAGAGAACGTCGGAATATGCTGATGTTGATCGGTCGGGAGAGAAGCAAACGTCGAAGCGATAGGACGGTGGATAGGTGGAGGTGGATTGAACGCTGGTATGTTCGAATGATGATTGATACGAAGAGGGTAACGAGCAGGGAAATCGGGACGATGGTTGATTTCAGCTGGAATATCAACTGGAACGTACAACTGTTGCTGTTCCCGATGTAGAGCGAAAGTTGGCCCGTCGCGATCTTGGTGGACTGGGGGTGGTGCAAAGGGAGGCATATTTCTACGGTGAGTATTCACAGGCGAAGAATGAAAGACAGGATGGTTTCTTGTGTTGTTCGATTCGAAAGCGTTCCCTTCTAGACTACTTTGTCGTGCAGGAATGGCATTCCCCGTCGACTCGAGCAGAAGCTGAAATCTACGCAACAGAAACTTGCGTTCGATGGTTTGCTCTTCCTCTAGAAGTTGGATCCTGAGTTCGGCAGGCAGTTTGTTCACAAGGTCTGGATCGACAGCAACTTGTCTGGAAACTACTGGCGCATCAGGATCCACTATAGGTGTTCGAGGAGTACGCGGGCGTGGGGTTGGCGGTGGCGGATTTGGCGATTGTGGTGTTCGTGGACGTGGGGTAGGTGGCTGCGGATTTGGCAACGGACTACGTGGGGGTACGATTGGCGTTCGCGGAGTTTGCGGTCGTGGTGTAGGAACCGGTGGGATTGGTGTTTCCGGTGTGGGCAGACGTGGAACTGGTAGTGGTATTGGTGACTGCGGGTGTGGTAATGGCTCACCTGTAGGAGTTCTTGGATGTGGCGATTGTGGAGCAGGACCTCTGGCAACGATGCACTCCTGGCAGCTCCAATCGTGGTTGGCCACATCTTCGTTTACTCCGGCGCAGTCAAAGTGGAACCAACGCTCACAGTCATCGCAGCTGACCATGTCGTTGCTATCTGGCAGACGGCAGAGCGGGCAGGATTGCTGCAAGCTGTCATCCGGCACTGGATCCCGAGTTCGGTCCCTTCGTGGCATCTCCGATTGATCCGGAAAACGAAAATTTTAAAATGTTGCTTCGGCAACAGAAGGAAAACGCAATCCGATTTTTAACTCGTTTATTCTTGGAGGAACGGTTAAAATTTTCCTGCAGACGTAACAAATCGTGATTAACAAATTATTAATGCTCATATAAATAATCTTACGTTTTGTGCTGGTTTCCGGTTCGCTATCCGGATCGTCGTAGCGGGATGCGCCAGAGCTTACAATTTCTGTGTATATGTTTAGTTAAATTAGGAAAATTAAGTTTAACTATAACAAACCAATTAATTTTACCTCGACTACTTTGAAGATTATCGAACTTCCAGAGAGAATTCAGTAAATATAACCTCGTATATAACCTTCAAACCGACCTACATCAAAATTTCGATAATATTTTAGTGTTATTCATTATTTTCTATCGATTAACTTTCTACCTTACGCTAAGTCACTAGTTGAAGTAATCCACTTTAATTTTAAGGTATTTTAAGGAAATGCACTAGTACTTTAAATATTTATTTAAGAGAAAACTTTGCACGATGTAATCTTAATGACGTTTTGGCACGTTTTTATATCTTTTTCTTACATTTTTCCATCCTCACCCGGTGCCGGCGGCCTGACAGCTATGCTTGTCGGTTGGATATCGCAGGCAGCTTCACACTCCTGCGATGCAGCGCCGCTGCACCAGTGAGGTAAATGAGTAGGTGCGGTGTCGCACGAAGGGCGTACGCAACAATTATATAAATTTATAAGTCAATTTATTTACTTCATTGCTGTTTTAATAAAATTCTCTAGGTTTAGAATTATGTACAATTATACATATTTTTAAATATTTTTCATCTATGATTCTTCCGTGGATTCTTCTTATGATTTAATTGTCAATCAATCCCTCCAAAGGAAACTTATTTCTTAAATGGTTAATTCTGCTCTGGGTGGTAAACACTTCGGGCGTAGTTTTTGGGTAATTTGAATTTAATATCCAAAATGCGTAGTTCCCACATAGTTCATTGTTATCATGTATGTGTTGGAATACACTCTCCTCAATATTGGATAGGCAGCTATCATTTTCCTCAATATCTACATGAAACTGTTAAGATAAACGATACGAATTATTATCTCATGTAGCACAACAATCTCACCTCATTCAGCCTGTCGATGCTGTACGGGACATCAATCGATTCTGCGATTCCATTTTTATTTGATATTGGAAATTTCCAGATAACAGTTGAGAAATGCACAACAAAAATCAGGCTACTGCGTGTTTTGAACATTGAGCAACATGAGTTAGTCAGAGTTACTCCAAATTAACTCAAAAATCTGTCGTGAGCAGGAGCTGTCCCATATGGCACGTGTATTCGTTAATGCCGGATCGACCGTAATATAGGAATCCAGTGGCATCAGTACTATAGTACTATATTGACTGTACGTGATGTCCGGGAAATCGAAAATCTTCAACTATAATTTTTCGTAAAAATTAACCACCCCGAATTTTATGATTTGATTTGTTTTGTTGCCTGAGGGCAAAAATTTATAACATTCTGAGACCATTCGGCCCAAAGTATCCGATAGTAAAAAAAATCCCCATAATCATACTTAGACCAGGCAGCGAATGCAGATTATAAATGTCCTTTGATCGAAATAAATCTCAAAATCCTCAGTAATCCCTCTGAAAGTGAATGAAATTGTTCCACCCGGACAGACTTCTACGCAGCCAATTTTGAGTTTGTTTAGATTTCGGCACATGGAAAGCAAAGTTTATTGACTCTTGGCCCCTCTTAGAACGGTGCAGTCGATAACTAATGCACTTGCACTGACGATGGAATACACTCTCATGCTAACAGCCATACTGGTAGGTGTGTACGATCGTTGTGTGGCTTGTTGTTGCAAAAAAAAAAACAACGCGAACCGAACACATAAATCCAGCGGCGCAGCCGAAAAAGTGCACACAGTCTGACTTTAGGTGGTGGGGTGATGCGCCTCTCCGTCGTGATGCGAGAGCTTGTGTCAAGTTGAGGGAGGTGCGGTAAAAGGAGACCAAGATGCAGGCATGTGTGTCTTTTTTTTTTTGGTAGTCGTTTATTTTCGGGTGCATAAGAGTGTATGCAGCTCAAGCAGCAGTTGTTGTTGTTTTCGCATACACAAGTGCATTGCCGCGCAATTTGGCGGTCATTGGCGCGGTGGCGATGACGTTTTAGGTCTCGGCTACACGAGAGCCATTTCGCGCAAGGCATTAGAACTTAAGCGCGATTTGGGCCTCTTACTTTTCTTAGTGTTTTCGGGTTTTTTTTCCTGCAAACCGGCTTAGATGGAGTATGTATTTGTTCGGTAAATAACATGAGTGGTTGAAAATTAGAATGTATCTGCAGTTTACATAAACTGAAGGGTGAATGAACCGATCCGATGCAGGACTTAACTCTCCGAGCACCAAGCCAACATTATATTTTTCACTAGTTTTTACGGTGGTTCGATTGTTAATATTTTGGATTTTAAATTTTTTATAAGTTCGTAAACACGTTGAATCTGATTGATGTCTTCTTGCATATTTTTCCCTTAAAACTTATAAAAATATCTAGTAGGATTTGCAATAACAACAACTGGTACCAAAGAGGAAATTTTAAAACATTAGATGGCGCATAAATTGATTCCGAGAAAAAAAACTGTCGAGTAAATTTTCAGTTTGGTGCTCGAAGAGCTACATAAGTATTTTTTTTTTACGGGGAAAAAAACGTTCATCTCCTTGAGATTCCTACCATCCTAACTTGAGTTTGCTCTTTTGCGATGCATTCCGAAGCTAGCTTGATCACCCATGAATTCGGCAATAAATTCTCCCGACAGTCGGCTGATTCAGATTAGCACAAATTGCAGCAAAGCAGTGCAACAAATCAGCCAAAAATAAAAATCTGTTTATGAGAACATATTTAAGCGACGAGAAATGAAACACACATCACCCCCGCAGTATTCTCGAAATACATCCTGTGTGAATCGTTCGGCGATCGTTTATATAACTGCAAGTCCAAAGACCTTTCCTGCTGAGATGTATGCCGAAGCACGGGATGGGAATATTTATAAACGCTTCTTTTAACAAATGCTTCACCGACAAATGCCTGCTTGCATAGCCACCCATCCTATCTGTCTGTCTATCTATGTGATGCACTTTCGTGTGCAAGGCGCGCGCATCTCTCGCGAATAAGAGAATCTGTGAAAAGATAGACAAAGTCTGAGCGCATCTCGCCGCCTCCACCGTCCTGTCCTGATGGTCCGACTCGCATCATCAAACGCGAAACCGATGCGAGGGGCTGTGTGTTCTTCTAAATTGCATGTTTTTGTTTTGTGCGCTAATTTTAATTGCAACACACTGTCAGCACCATCATCGGTAGCAACGTGTGCAGTTTGATTTCGTTTCACTCGTCGCAAGATCACCTCTAGTTTTGATTTTTTGTTTGAGGCTTGGTTGAGTGTGTGTGTATTTTGGGCGTCTATCGGTGCGAATTGGTAGAATGACACGAGGAGTTGAGTTCAGGGACACTCGAATGCACGTAATTTCTAACATGTGTGGATGAGCAATTTTCTAAAAATTGCACTCGAATTCAAGTGGATGGTTTCACTTGTATCAAATGATATTGAAACTGTGTAATATTAGACAGTGATGCGTTTCTTTATCTGAACAATAGGTTTGTAATTAAGTCAAAATATGCAAACACCGGCTTATGTTATGTCTAAATCACTCATCGGACCTCATAAAATGAAACCCATAACTACAATCATAAGTTTGAGGGATTTCGATTAGATTAACACGAGGGATCGATTGATTCTTAATAGTTTCTTACTGAGTCACAATCGTAGGTAACTGTAGGGAATGGTGAAGATGCTTAATCAAAATTAATTTACTTATAATTTCTTAGCCATTATTGTGGAATTCAATACTTTTGTTAAATCAAAGAGTCAGACTCAGATACACTCCAAGAACCAACTTGAAACTTGAAACTTATTTTTAAACAGTGCAAACTAGATGATGGTGATGATGATGATGATGATGATGATGATGATTCTGATGGTCCAACCTATTAACCCTACATACGTTTGAGCTGTGCGATTTATCTTTAAGATAATTAAGTAGGAGAAGTGGTCCAGTTATGACACTGGTATTCCTCTAATTGATCATACGACTTAAAGCAAGTTCAAGATACAAGTCGGACTCGATTATCAGTGGCTCAATCATCCGGAAAAGATGGCTCGATTATTCGGAGCCGTAA